GATTACGCCTCAACATAAAACAAAACTTTTCAATACCGGACCAATAAGTAACGTCATGACAAATGGAGAAAAGACTGAAGTTGTCAAGGATTTCATTTTACTTGGATCCACGATCAACACCCATGGAAGCAGCAGTCAGGAAATCAAGTGATGCACTGCACTGGGCAAATCTGCTGCAAAAGACCTCTTTAAAGTGTTCAAAAGCAAAGATGTCACTTTAAAGACTAAGGTGTGCCTGACCCAAGCCATGGCATTTTCAATCACCTCATGTGCATGCGAAAGCTGGACAATGAATAAGGAAGACCAAAGAAGAACTGACGCCTTTGAATCATGGTGATGTGAATAATACTGAATATACCATGGACTTGCAGAATAAGCAAATCTTTCTTGGAAGAAGTACAACCAGAACGCTCCCTAGAAGCAAGGATGGCGAGACTACATCTCACATACTTTGGACGTGTTATCAGGAAGGATCAGGCCCTGAAGAAGGACAACATGCTTGGTAAAGTAGAAAGTCAGGGAAAAAGAGGAAGACCCTCGACGAGATGGACTGACACAGTGGCTGCAACAATAGGCTCAAGCACAGCAATGATCATGAGGACGAGGCAGTGTTTCATTCTGTTGCACGTGGGGTCGCTATGAGTCGGAGCTGACTCAACGGTACCTGACGACACAATCTTTACAGAAGTGGACTGTCACATCTTTCTCCCACGAAGCAGCTGCCGACCTTTCTCAGCAGCCGAGCACTTACCCGCTGCATCACCAGGGCTCCTCAGGAAACTAAGAGTCATTCACAAATATTTACTGACGACCTACTAAGTGCTGGAGCCCTGGTGGCACAGTGGTGAAGCGTTTGGCTGCTAACCAAAAAGTCAGCAGTTTTGGAATATATCCTAGAGAAATACGAGCCGTCACACGAATAGATATATGCACATCCCTGTGCACTGCAGCCCTGTTCACAATAGCAAAAAGATGGAAACAACTTAGGTGCCCATCAACAGATGAATATGGTATATCCACACGATGGGATACTACGCAACGATAAAGAACAACGATGAAGCTGTGAAACATAACATGGAGGAATCTGGAGGGCATTACCCTGAGTGAATTTAGTCAGTCACAGAAGGACAAATATCGTATAAGACCACTCCTGTAAGAACTCAAGAAAAGGTTTAAACACAGAAGAAAACATTCTTTGATGGTTACAAGGGTGGGAAGGGAGGGAGAGGGTTATTCACTAACTAGATAGTAGACAAGTGTCATGGATTGAATTGTGTCCCCCCAAAAATGTGTGTAGCACCTTGGCTAGGTCATGATTCCCAGTATTGTATGACTGTGTTATCTGATGTGATTTCCTTATGTGTTGTAAACTCTATCACTATGATGAGATTATATGTGATCTCCTCATGTGTTGTAAATTCTATCACTGTGATGAGGTTATACTGATGAGCTTGACAAGATCAGTGTCTTAATGCAATCTCTTTTGAGATATAAAAGAGAGAAGCGAGCAGAGACACATGGGAACCTCATCCCACCAAGAAAGCAGTGCTGGGAGCAGAGCACGTCCTTTGGACCTGAGGTTCCTGCGCAGAGAAGCTCCCAGACCAGAGGAAGACTGATGACATGGACCTTCCTGCAGAGCCAACAGAGAAAGTGTTCCCCTGGAGCTGACATCCTGAATTTGGACTTGTAGCCTACTGGACTGTCAAGAAATAAACTTCTCTTTGTTAAAGCCATCCACTTGTGGTATTCCTGTTAGAGCAGCACTAGATGACTGAGACAACAAGTATTATCTTAGGTGAAGGGAAGGACAGCACACACTGCAGGGAAAGTCAGCACAACTGGACTAAACCAAAGCTAAGAAGTTTCCTGAATACAAGCAAACACTCTGAGGGACAGAGCAGCAGGGGTAGGATCTGGGGACCATGGTTTCTGGGGACATCTAGGTCAATTGGCATAACAAAGCTCATTAAGAAAATGTTCTGCATCCTACTTTGTTGAGTGTCGTTTGGGGTCTTAAAAGCTTGCAAGCTGCCATCTAAGATGCATCAATTCGTAACCACTTGGAGTAAACGAGAATGAAGAACACCAAAGACACAAGCAAAGTATCAGCCCAAGAGACAGAAAGGGCCACATAAACCAGAGACTTCATCAGGCTGAGACCAGAAGAACTAGATGGTGCCTGGCTACCACCAATGACTGCCCTGACAGGGAACATAACAGATAGTCCCTGATGGAGCAGGAGAAAGGTGGGGTGAAGAACTCAGATTCTAGTAAGACCAGACTTAATGGTCTGAGACTGGAGGAACCCCGGAAAGCACGGCCCCTGGATTCTCTATCAGCCCAGAACTAAAACAAGTTCCGAGGCCAAATCTTCAGACAGGGATTGGACTGGTCAGTGGGACATAAAGTGATACTCGCGAGGAGTGTGCGTCTTACCTCAAGTAGATGCAAGAGACTAAACAGGCAGCTCCTGTCCAGAGGTGAGATGGGAAGTCAGAGAGGGTTAGGAGCTGGTTGAATGGACATGGTGAATCAGGGGTGGAAAGGAAGAGTGTGCTGTCACGGTATGGGGAAAGCAGTTAGGGTCACATAACAGTGTATGTATAAATTTTTGTATGGGAGACTAAATTGAAATGTAAACTTCATCTGAACTACAACAATTAAAAAAAAAACAAACAAACAAAAAGTCAGCAGTTCGAATCCACCAACTGTTCCTCGGAAGCTCCGTGGGACAGTTTTACTCTGTCCTACAGGGTCGCTAGGAGTCAGAATCGACTCAACAGCAACAGGTTTTTTGTTTGTTTGTTTGTTTTTTTACTAAGTGTTAAACACTCTGCTCAGTGCTAGGAATTCAGAGGCAAACAAGATCCAGCTGCTACATCAACTCTGCACAAAATAAAGTAAGATTGGAAAACATGAAAGCAGCAGTGGAGCTGTAGGCCTTCTCACCTCCAGGCCTTCTAAAACATTGCTCCCTCTGCCTCGAACACTCTCTTTGTCCCCTGCTATGTTCTACTTATCTTACAGGATGCCGATCAAGTGTCAACTCCTGCCATGACCCTCCCAGATCAGGGCCAATGCCTGTGCTACGTGCGTCTCATAGCACCCTTGTTGTTGTTGTTGTTGTTGTGGGATGCTGTCGATTTCAACTCCTAGTGACCCTGTGTGACAGAGCAGAACTGCCCAATAGGGTTTCCCAGGGAGACTGCCAGCTCTGTTCTCCCACAGAGCCCCTGGGTGGGTTCGAACCACCAACCCTTCGGTGAGCAGCCAAGCACTTGACCATTGCACCACCAGGGCCCCTTTCAGCACCCTAGGCTTGCCTTATTGTAAGACGGCTCACGGTCAACGGTAATTGCTTTCTAAAGGTCCCTCTCTGCCTGCTGTTCTGTGAGATGCATGTGGACCGATGCGTGGTGCAGGAAGCACGCTCAACAAATATTTCTTTGTTTTTTTATTTTATCTTTTCTTACTGTGCTTTAGGTCAAACTTTACAGCTCAAGTTAATTTCTCATACAAAAATGTATACACATATTGTTTTGTGACATTAGTTGCAATCTCCACAATGTGACAGCACACGCCTCCTTTCTACCCCAGGTTCCCTGTGTCCATTCAACCAGTTCCTGTCCCTTTCTGCCTCCTCATCCTGCCTCCAGACAGGAGCCGCCCATTTGGTCTCATGTATCTGCTTGAACTAAGAAGCACACTCCTCACGTGTATTATTTTTTGTTCTACAGTCCTGTCCAATCTTTGTCTGAAGAGTGGGCTTCGGGAATGGTTTCAGTTCTGGGTTAAAAGAGTGTCCAGGGGCCATTATCAACAAGTATTTCCTATGTAAAATAATATACAATCATTGTCTATTAAGAGAAATAACCATTTTGAGAAACATCTAGGTCAACCAGCATAACAAAGTATATTAAAAAATGTTCTGCATCCCACTTTGGTTGAGTGGCGTCTAGGGTCTTAAAAGCAAGTGAGCAGCCATCTAAGATGCATCAGTTGGTGCCAACCAACTTGGAGCAAAGGAGAATGGAGAACACCAAAGACACAAGGAAATTATTAGCCCAAGAGACAAAAGGGCCACATAAACCAGAGACTCCATCAGCCTGAGACCAGAAGAACTAGATGGTGCCTGGCTACCACCAATGACCATTCTGACAGGGAACACAACAGACGGTCCCTGATGGAACAGGAAAAAAATGTGGAGCAGAACTCAGATGCACGTAAAAAAAACCAGACTTAATGGTCTGACTGAGACTGAAGGTACCCCAGAAGACATGGCCCCCAGATGCTCTGTTAACCTAGAACTAAAACCATTCCCGAAGCTCACTCTTCAGACAAAGATTAGACCGGACTATAAAACATAAAATAATACTCATGAAGAGTGTGCTTCTTAGTTCAAGCAGATACATGAGACCAAATGGGCGGCTCCTGTCCGGAGGCAGGATGAGAAGGCGGGAAGGGACAGGAACTGGTTGAATGGACACAGGGAACCTGGGGTAGAAAGGAGGCGTGTGCTGTCACATTGTGGAGATTGCCACTAATGTCACAAAACAATATGTGTATACATTTTTGTATGAGAAATTAACTTGAGCTGTAAACTTCCACCTAAAGCACAATTAAAGAAAAAAAGAGAGAAATAGCCAACTTAAGCTTATTTCTAAGGTAAACTGCTTCTGAATTCTAGGCTATAATTTTTAAACTCTCTGAAATTGCTACCACGTATAAATAGATTTTTCTTTCATTTACAAATGGCTCATTATAACAGGCATCCCTCCATAAGCTACAAACCTCAAAGCGAGTCATTTAATTCAAAGCAGTTTACACAAGAAGAGTTATAACATAGCTTCCAGATGGTCAACTATTATTTCATTCTCTTTAACAGCTCAGAATTTTAAATGGCTTTTATTGGCTTCAAAAACCTCTTAATCAAAATTAAGTCTTCTTTTAAGCATTTCCCAGAAAGGATAAGTACAGGTACTGAAATTTTACTTCACCTTAGTTGGGTCATATCTTCTGAGTACTTCTAAGAGTTTTGGAATTTGTATTCTCGTCTCTTCTTCACAGAAGAAAATCCATGACGAATTTCTGCTATATGTCACAGAAAAGCTGACAGAGAAATAGGTTATAGTAATCACCTCTATGACATGAATTTATACTACAGTTTAAAACTTTTAAGTAGGAAATGGATGAAACGCATACAAAGCAGCAAGAACTCTGGATGTTTTTTCTCTTATATTTTTCTTTAACGTATAGCGTTTCAGCTTACGGGAAGGTTCAGTACTAACGTTCTATGAAACAGATGCACTTAGTAAAACAGTTCTCTCTGCAACAACACCAGCTCAAAACACAGATAATTTCCAGATGCCAACCTGACGTACACCGAGTTCACCTTTTAAGAAAGAAACACATTTAAAACAAAAGCTATTCATTACTAAGAACTAATCATCAAGAAACTTGAGAAATGTAGTAATCATACAAAACAAAGCTCTGATTACTTCATTTATGGACTCAAAGGAAAAACACATCCTCTTAATAAGAAAACTAGATAGCATGAAAGTATTCAGAGATGTCAACAATGTATAAACATTTAAAGTTACACGTACTGTGGTAACAAGGGAAGGATGGTCCAGGCGCCTTCCAGCTTCACCAGCTGATGAGTAAGAACAACTCGGGGGAGTTCCTGATGGGAAAATATACACATATATATATATGTATCTCACAGAGAAATAAAAATATAAGATGACCACTTGAATTAAAATAAATAAATAAACACTTGTTACGTGCCGACAAGTCGACTCCGACTCATAGCGACCCCATGTGACACAGCAGAACTACCCCACAGGGTTTCCTAGGCTATGATCTTTACAGGAGCAGATCGCCAGGTCTCTCTCCCATGGAGCAGCTGGTGGATTTGAACCGCCAACGTTTTGGTTAGCAGCCGAGCGCTTAACTGTTGCATCACCAGGGCTCCTTAAACAAAAATGTGGTTTAAAACGGGTATTTTTAGAGACATGACATTTTACTCTTCATATCACTCTCTTATTTCCAGTTCTTCTTCAGACTACTGGAAGTGAAGGATTTCAGCCTAATCCGCACAACCTCTCCACTACCCAGGGAAGGAACAGCGCTCCAGGGAGGTCCTCAGAGAGACCCTGAGCTGACCTGAGACCTGCAGGTTTGTGAGGAGGACTGGAGGGCAGAGCCCAGGAGGAGACAGCGACAGCTCAGAGGCACAAAAAGAGGTTTTCTGATTTTATGCAAAACATGTCATACACGTAGGAAAAAAAGGTTTGGCTAAATGAGAGGATATAATACCCAATGTTACATGTCATATAAAAAAATCATTTTTAAAGTCCCCTAAAAACACTAAAACACCATGCTAATGAAGAAGTTTTGGGTCAAACTACTAGAAACGTAATCCTTAAATATTCAGGCAATAAGGGTGCTGTCAAGTTGATTCTGACTCACAGCAACCCCATGTGACAAAGTAGAACTGCCACATAGGGGTTCCCAGGCTATAATCTTCAGGGAGCAGATCACCAGGCCTTTTCTCCTGGTGTTCAAACCTCCAACCTTTCGGTTAGCAGCCGAGCTCTTAACCACTTCGCCACCAGGGCCACCACAGGAATGGCATAATAATGAAGCTCCAGATTATAAACAGAATATTCAGAAATAAGATCAACTGTGATTAAACACAAATGGGGGGAGAGAGAGAATATTTTAAAGCTACGAATGTCACCTCTAAAGTAAAGCACTACTCAACGTATTTCACATCATTACAGGCTAAAAGTCTCTCAGGAATTTCAGCTCTAACATGCTTGAAACCTCAACCCCCTCTCCCAGTAACCTGTAGTATCTACTGTGTTTCAACTAACTATAAACACATATCCTGGTAACTACTGTCGGCAAAAGAATTTAATAAATGCTTAAGTACTTGAAATTCTTACTGTACTGATGTGGATTCCATACCAGTCTTAAAGTTCATAAAAATTAATTATTTAAGAAGAGAATGGTTTTTAGCATCGTCAATTAAATAAACCTCAATTCTTCATTTTATGTGGTGTTAATTTCAAATTCCACGTACAAATGTGAAATGCAAGAGCAGTCATCAGAGCTTAAGGCAGACTAACAACCTGGTACGCGAGGAAGAGGAAAAGGAAGGCATCCAGTACACTGCAGTATACGTAATTCAGCTTTCCTACCACTGCCTCTGAATTAGGCAGTAATCTTCATTGTCTTTTAAAAACTGCAATCTATATACGTATTCATGGGGCTGATGTAAGAGCAAAAGAGCACGTGCAATGAAAAGCAATGCCATTACTATTTGCATAAACTCTGAAATAATTACGTGCAAATGCTAATGTGAACGAGATTGCAAAAGAAATGGCCAAGGCTAAAAAAAGAAGTTTTAATAAAAAAAAGTAGCTGATGAGCAATTATATGGCAATTAAAATTACAATGAAGACTTTATAATAGAAATGTCTCTATGTTAAATGAAAAAAAAAGACATGATTCCAATTATTTTAAAAATAACCATATATGGACAGAGAATGGAAGGGAACCAGAAAATAAAAAAATACTTGTGTCAAGATGACAGAATCATGAGATAAATGCTTAAAAATCCCGTAGTGTAGATAAAATATGTTGCTGCTGTTGTTGCTGTAAGCTGTGAAGTTGATTCTGACTCATAGCAACCCCATGTAACAGAGAAGAACTTCCCCATAGGGTCTTCTTGGCTGTATTCTTTATGGAAGCACATCCCAGGTCTTTCTCCAGATCATCAGGTCTTCCTCCCATGGAGGAGCTGGGGAGGTTCAAATCACGTCTTTTGGTTAGCAACTGTCTTGGTCATCTAGCACTGCTCTAACAGAAATATCAAAAGCAGATGGCTTTAACAAAGAGGAATTTATTCTCTCTCAGTCTAGTAGCTACAAGTCCAAATTCAGGGCGTCAGCTCTAGGGGAAGGCCTTCTCTCTCTGCCAGCTCTGGAGGAAGGTCCTTTTGATACATCAGTCTTCCCTTGGTCTAGGAGCTTCTCTGCGCAGGAACCTCAGGTCCAAAGGATGCACTGTGCTCCTGGCACTGCTTTCTTGGTGGTATGAGGTCCCCGTGTCTCTCTGCTCGCTTCTCTCTTTTATATCTCAAAAGAGATTGGCTTAAGACACTATCTAATCTTACAGATTTCATCAATATAACTGCCACTAATCCATCTTATTACATCATAATGATAGGATTTACAACACACAGGGAAATCACATCAGATTACAAAATGGTAGACAATCTTACAATACTGGGAATCATGACCTAGCCAAACTGATACACATATTTTTTGGGGGACACAATTTAATCCATGATACCTGCCAAGCACTTAACCACTGTACCACCAGGGGTCCCTGGGCAGATACACATCTATGAATATGCAGACAGACATACACATAATTATACATATGTGCACCCATAAGATAAAGAACTGAAAAGGTCCTAATAGAATTTTCCATCAAATGATCTTATCTCAGTTCTTACCACTTGATATTGTAATAACTTACGTTCTATCTATCACCAGCACAAGATTCAGAACTCCTTAAAGGTGCTACCCTGGTGCCTCAGTGGTTAAGAGCTCGGCTGCTTACCAAAAAGACCACAGTTTAAATCCACCAGCTGCTCCTTGGAAACCCTACAGGGCAGTTCTACTCTGTATTATAGGGTCGCTAAGAGTCGGAATCGACTCAACGGCAACAGGTTTAAAGGTGCTGTGTCACCAGCTTATAGCTCTTTTAGATACAAAACAAGCTTTTTAATAGTAACTGGATGGATGGTTGAGATAGAGTTTTAGAATGAAAAATCGAGGGGAAATTAAGTTGTTACATCAACACTACCACCAGCTGGCTGAAATAAAAGATATAGTAAGGCCCTCATGCACGCAGCAACTGTCTGTTGTCAACCTAAATGGTGTACATTCACCAAACCATGTGTCATGGATTGAATTGTGTCCCCCAAAAATATCTGTCAACTTGGCTGGGTCATGATTTCCAGTATTGTATGATGGTGTACCATTTTGTAATCTGATGTGATTTCTTTATGTGTTGTAAACTCTATCACTATGGTGTAATAAAATGGATTAGTGGCAGTTATACTGATGAGGTCTACAAGATTAAATAGTGTCTTAAGCCAATCTCTTTGGAGATATAAAAGAGAGAAGTGAGCAGAGACATATGGAAACCTCACACCACCAAGAAAGCGGTGCTGGGAGCAGAGCGCGTCCTTTGGACCTGAAGTTCCTGCACTGAGATGTTCCCAAACCAAGGGAAGATTGATGACACGGACCTTCCTCTGGAGCAGACAGAGAGATAAAGCCTTCCCATGGAGCTGACACCCTGAATTTGGACTTGTAGCCTACTGGACTGTGAGAGAATAAATTTCTCTTCACTAAAGCCATCCCCTTGTGGCATTTCTGTTATAGCAGCACTAGATGACCAAGACACCACGCTACTATTTCGACCCTAAAAGGTACGGCAAAGCTGTCAATCATGAGATATTGCCACAACACAGGCAAGCACGCTGCTGTTCGGTGGCAAGCCAACTCCAATGCACAGCCACCCCATGTGACAGAGCAGAACTGCCCACAGGATTTTCTTGGCTGTGATTTTTACGGGAGCAGATCGGCAGGTCTTTCTCCTGCAGAGCCGCTGGGTGGGTCTGAACCACCAACCTTCCACTTAGCAACTGACTGCTTAACCATTTGCGCCACCGGGGCTCCCTAGAGGCAAGCAAAAAGGGGCTAAAAGTATAAAGGAACAAATGTGGGTTCAGGATGGAAAAGGGAGAGAAAATATAGAAGTTGCTCACAGTAATTTAAACTTCCTATGTCAACTCCACATATCTCTCTTAACCGAAGTTCACCTTTTTTTCCATCATCAGCATCTGCTGATGTGAGAATCATTACCTGGAAGCCAGGAAACCTGCTGGCCTCTCGGTCAGTACTTGCCTTGAACATATACTCACATTTAAGGTAGCTAACTATTACTGGATGAGCCCTGGTGGCACCGTGGCTAAGCGCTTGACTGCTAATCGAGAGGATGGAAGTTTGAACCCACTCAGCAGTTCTGTGGGTTAAAGACCTGGCAATCTGCTTCAAACAACAATAATTATTGAGAACAAATCAATTTAAAACCAACACGAAGGCATTAGCCGGGTCTCGTACATATTCATCTTCTTCTGGGAAAGGAGTTTGACTCCAATGTCGTGGCCGAGCTTTCTCAAAATGTTTTGAGAAAGCTCATTATCCTTCACACGGAGAAAAAAAAAACATTAAAAATCTACATTTAGAAATATTAACAGCATGAACGAAAAAGCCAGTGGCTGAACATCGAGTAAAACAGATTCATATTAAAAATACTGTAACTGCAATTATTTGGCATATTTGGTTTTGAACCACTTGAGTCTTCATGCCACTGTATGGAAAGAATTCAGCTAACAGCAGCAGGGAAGCACTGAGCTGCTAACTGGAAGGTTGGCAGTTGGAACCCACCCAGTGGCTCTGCGGGAGAAAGTCCTGGTGATCTGCTTCTGTAAAGATTACAGCCTAGAACACCCTACGGGACAGTTCTACTATGTCACATGGGGTTGCTATGAGTCAGAATGGACTCAACGGCACCCAACATCAACAACCCCATGCTGTG